AGCAGTTCTGGTTAGTAGGATGGGGAGGTCGGGCGACGAAATCGGTTGAATCGTGTCGCTCATTCCGCCGGCCCATATTGTCTCGCCGCTGTCGTTTGTCTGGGTGTTGTTGTCAATGCTGTGCCGCTGGGTGGCTGGCATTTTCTGGAGGCATTTTCTGGGGACGAGGCGGCACGGTATTTTTGGATCCTTCTCGGGCCTTACGGGGTGGGGCCTCTTGGGAACTTCTTAGGGCCTCTTGAGGGCCTTTTGGGGGCCTCTTGGGGGCCTCCTGGGGCCTCCTGGGGCCTCTCGGGGCCGAGGGCTCGAAATATCCGTTCGGGTCCCTCGTCCGGACCCTCTCTCGGAGTCGTTTTGGGGCCTCTTGGGTCGTCTTGGAGGTCTCTGGGGTCGTGTTGGGGCCATCTGGAGCTGTTTGAGAGCTCTCTTGGGGGCCTTTTGGGCCGTGTGGGGGCGATCTTGGGGGGCCTCTTGGGCCATCTGGACGTTGCGAAGGTCCAAGTGGCGAGTATACCGAACAGATCAGTGCTCATAAGGGAATGGGACGATTTTTGCTTCTTGGGGCCGTCTTGGGACGCCTCCAGTGGACCTCCTGGGGCGTCTTGAAGGCCTTTTGGGCCGTCTCGAGGCCATCTTGGGCGTCTTGGAGTGGTCTTTCGGCGTCTGGGGGCTCTCCTGGACCGTGTGTAAGGCCTCCGAGGCCCCTCTCGGACCGATTTGGAGCCCTCTTGGGCTCCGAAAAAGGCTTCAGGCATCCGTGACGGGGACAGGCCGGGGTCCGTGCGGGACCCCCAGGGGCCGCCCCGCGCGCGCGCGCGAATCAGAAAGGTTGCGAACCAGTTACCCGAAATCTTAGCACGCCCCTGGCCCGTTGGGCCGGCAGGATGGGGAGGTCGGGCGACGAAACTTATACGTTGTAATATACTGCCCCCTGGCCCTTCCTTGGCCCAGGAGCTGTTCGTAGACGCCCTCCTGGGGCAAGCCAGGAGGGCGAGGCGTTTGCACCGCTGCTGGGCTCCGGCTGGGCCTGGCCAGGGAGCAGTGGACCTGTCCAGATCTCGCCGCCCGAAAACAAAGACGCCGTCCCCACAGCGCGCACCACGAAGCCGGGTCCCAGGCCCAGTCCTGCCAGTGCCCGAGCCCGACAGGTGCATGGAGTGGCTGCAGTGCGGGGAGGTCGCCCGCGCGGAGGCGCTCGCGGCCTACCACCTGGGCATGCTGGGCATCGAGGAGCAGGGCGCCCCGAGCCGCGAGCGGGCGCAGCGGCTGCTCATCTCCTCCGCGGAGAAGGGCGAGGCGGACGCCCAGTACATGCTGGGGAAGATGTGCCCCAAGAGGAAAAACTGCCTCACCCTTCTCCTCCTCCTCCTCCTCCTCCTCCTCCTCCTCCTCCTCCTCCTCCTCCTCCTGGTGATCATCATCATCAGCAGCAGCATCATCGTCATCATCATCTTCATCATCATCAGCAGCATCAGCATCAGCATCAGCATCAGCATCACATTCATCACCATCAGCATCATCATCATCATCATCATCATCATCATCATCATCATCATCATCATCATCATCATCATCATCATCATCATCATTATGTTCCTCCTCCTCCTGTTTATCCTCCTCCTCCTCCTCGTCTTTCTCCTCCTCCTCCTCCTCCTCCTCCTCCTCCTACGCCTCCTCCTCCTCGTCTTTCTCCTCCTTCTTCTTCTTCTTCTTCTTCTCCTCCTCCTCCTGCTAATGCAAACTTTCGGAGTTCTTGGATGGGCAGGGGCTGGTCGCCTTGCGGCACCTCTGGCGCCGCCTCTGGCGCGCTCCGCGCACCAGGGAGGGGGGCCCAGCGTCGATCCAAGAAACCGGCGCGGACCTCCAACAGTTTGTGCTAATGCTGTGGAGGACGATCGATGGAATGGAAGCATGTTGCCAAAGAAGTTCCAGATGCCTAGAACATGTGATAAAACTGTTTTAAGCATGTAGAGGACATGACTTCAACATGTTCTGGACATGCTCCTACATGTTAAACACAGGTTTGATTCGATGATCGGACTGTTAGGGTGTCCACTGTCGTGGCATCCACCATGTTGATGCAGCTGTTTCTTCCTCTATGTACCTGGACTCCCCCGACACGGAGGAGTTCTCGGGCGAGAAGCGGGAGGCCGCTCGGCTGCTGACCCAGGCCGCCACGCAGGGCCACGGCCGCGCACAGGTCCTGGCGGGCAAGGTGCACATGTTCGGCATCGGCGTCGAGAAGGACGAGCCCAAGGCCGTCGAGTTTATCACCCTCGCGGCCGAGAGCGGCACGAAGGAGGGCCAGTATTTGATGGGCTCGATGCTGCTCGAGGGCAGGGTGGTCCAGGATCGGCGACCAGAAGCGCCCCCAGCAGGCCTGGCAGGCAAGGGATTATGCTGATGTCATCATAGGACGGGGCGCTGTGCGCGAACTTGCCGTGTCCCATTATTGCGCGCAGAGGCCGTCTTCGGGCGACCCCGATTTGAGTGCTGGGGCTTAGTGGGAAAGGCTGGTAAGGGAGTTTAGTAAAAGTTCTCGGTGGGGAGGTTAGCGAGAAACTTTGGTAGGAAATCCGCAAGAAGAGAGCATGGGGAGAAACGAGGGAGCGGGCCCAGGCGGAGCAGCGGAGCAGTGGAGCACTTTCGCCCCGCGCGCGCGCGCGCCCTGGCAGGGCCCCGGGGCCGACGCGCTGGGACCCTGGGCCGACGCGCTGGGACCACGCCCTGGCTCCACAGGGCCAAACCCAGGCGGAGCAGCGGAGCAGTGGAGCACTTTCGCCCCGCGCGCGCGCCCAGGCAGGGCCCCGGGGCCGACGCGCTGGGACCATGGGCCGACACGCTGGGGTCACGCCCTGGCTCCACAGGGCCAAACCCAGGCGGAGCAGCGGAGCAGCGGAGCACTTTCGCCCCGCGCGCGCGCCCAGGCAGGGCCCCGGGGCCGACGCGCTGGGACCCTGGGCCGACGCGCTGGGACCACGCCCGGCCCGCGCGCGCGTCCCAGACCATGGGCCGACGCGCCTGGGCCATGGCAAGGCCCGGGGGCCCCAGCAGGGCCCCGGGGCCGACACGCTGGTGCCACGGGCCGACGCGCTGGGACCATGCCCCGGCTCGAGCGCTGTCTGTGGTCGCTTGCAGGGCCACCCCAGGCTCGGAACCCAGGGGGGGAGCGACGGCGACGGCGTCGTGCTCACCGTCGTCGGCGTCGTCGTCGTTGCCAGCGTCGGCGTCGGCGTCGTGCTCGGCGTCGTTGTCGGCGTCGTCGTCGCCCTCGTCGTCGTCGTCATCGTCGTCGTCGGCGTCGTCGTCGTCGTCGGCGTAGGTGTGGGCATCGGCGCTGGCGTCGGCGTCGGTGTCGGTGTCACCGCTGGGCGTCGTCGTCGCGCTCGTCGTTGTCGTCGTCGTCGTCGTCGTCGTCGGCATCGGCGTCGGCGCCGGCGCCTGCGTCGGCTTCGTCGTCGGCGTCGTGCTCAACGTCGTGCTCAGCGTCGTGCTCGGCGTCGTCGTCATCGTCAGCGTCGTCGTCGGCGTCGGCGCCGTTGTCGTCGTCGGCGTCGTCGGCGTCGTGCTTGGCGTCGTGCTTGGCGTCGTGCTCGGCGTCGTGCTCGGCGTCGTCGTCGGCACCGGCATCGGCGCTGGCGTCGTCGTCGTCGTCGTCGTCGGCGGCGTCGTCGTCGGCGTCGGCGTCGGCGTCGGCGTCGGCGTCGTCGTCGTGCTCGGCGCTGGCGTCTTGTTCGGCGTCGTGCTCTTCGTCGGCGTCGGCATCGGCGCCAGCGTCAGCATCGTTGTCGGCGTCGGCGTCGTCGGCGTCGTGTTCGGCTTCGTCGTCGGCGTCGTGCTCTTCGTCGTGCTCGTCGTCGTCGTCGCCGTCGCCGGCGTCGGCGTCGGTGTCGTCCTCTGTGTCGTTGTCGACGTCGGCGTCGTCGTCGTGCTCGGCGTCGTGCTCGGCGTCGTGCTCTTCGTCGGCGTCGGCGTCGGCGTCGTCGTCGTGCTCGTCGTCGTCGTCGTCGGCATCGGCACCTGCATTGTGCTCGTCGTCGTCGTCGTCGTCACCCGCGTCGGCGTCGACGTCGGCATTGTCGTCGTCGTCGTCGGCGCGTTCTCGTCGTCGTTGTTGTCTTCGCTGTCGGCGCCGTCGTCGTCGTCGTCGTCGTCGTCGTCGTCGTCGTCGTCGTCGCCTTTCCCCCCCCCAGGGTTCGAACAGCGGGATGGGGGGGGACAGGCATGGGTGGAGCATATCATCCCTGTCCTCTTCGCCTCACGTGCCGTGCTTCGCGCTCCTCCCTAAGGGGACCGAAGAATGAGATAAACATAAAAAACTCGGAGGTCCGCGCGCATTTCTCGGATCCGCGCTGGACCCCCCTCCTTGGCGCGCGGAGCGCGCCAGGGGCGTCGCCGGAGGCGCCGCCAGGGGGCCCCAGCGCGGATCCGAGAAATCCGCGCGGACCTCCGAGTTTTCATGTTTCCTGTAACTCTTCGCTCCTCCATCCCTGTCCTCTCCCTGCCGCACCTCCAACGCCTCGACACACCGAGACCGAGGCGTGTCACCACTCTCAGCCTGCAGGGGCCGCCTTCGGACCCCAGGGCCAATTGTGGAGAGGCGCTGCGGGGCGCAGAGCGGGCCCTGGGAGGGCGGCGAGAGGGCCAGGCCTCCGAGGACCACGAGCGGGGCGTCAGAGGTCTGAGCTCTCCTCCTCCTCCTCCTCCTCCTCCTCCTCCTCCTCCTCCTCCTCCTCCTCCTCCTCCTCCTCCTCCCTCCTCCTCCTCCTCCCTCCTCCTCCTCCTCCTCCCTCCCTCCTCCTCCTCCTCCTCCTCCTCCTCCTCCTACTACTATCTACTACTACTACTACTACTACTACTACTACTACTACTAACTACTACTACTACTACTACTACTACTACTACTACTACTACTACTACTAACTACTACTACTACTACTACTACTACTACTACTACTACGACTACTATTACTACGACCTACGACTACGACTACGACTACTACTACTACTACTACTACTACTACTACTACTACTACTACTACTACTACTACTACTACTACTACTACTACTACTACTACTCTACTACTACTATACTACTACTACTACTCCTCTTCCTCCTCCTCTCCTCTCTCCTCCTCCTCCTCCTCCTCCTCCTCCTCTCCTCCTCCTCCTCCTCCTCCCTCCTCCTCCTCCTCCTCCTCCTGTCCTCCTCTCCTCCCTCCTCCTCCTCCTCCCTCCTCCTTCCTCCTCCCTCCTCCTCTCCTCCTCCTCCTCCTCCTCCTCCTCCTCCTCCTCCTCCTCCTCCTCTGTTTCGGCCTCGAGGTGTGGGTCTGAGGTCTGAGCTCCACTCGGCTCGTGTAGCGATCCGAGTTTGCTTCAGGTTGCTGTGCCAGCCACGCCGTAATGAGTTTCAGTGGTCCCGCGCTCCCCCAGCTCCCTTCCTCCCGAACAAAAAGAAAAATGAGGGGGGCGTCAGAGGTCTGAGCTCCTCTCTGTTTCGGCCTCGAGGGCCGATTGCCGCGGAGGAGGAAAAGCGTGCGCGCGCCAGGGCTGGGCCCCGACGCGCGTGGAGCCAGGGCGTGGTCCCCGGCGCGTCGGCGCCTGGCCCCCACCGCGTCGGCCCCGGGGCCTTGCTCGTGGCATCGCTCGGACGTGTGCATTTTTCCTTCGGCGAGGACCATCGAGGAACATCCTTGATCATTTCGCGAAAAAACCACGCACGAAACCGAAAAAACCCAGGGAATGGACGTCCGAGCGATGGCCAGTGCTGGGCCCCCCGGGCAGGACGCGCACGCACCAAACCCAGACGCACAGCACACCGGCCGCGCAAGGGCCAGACACCCGACGCGCAGGGGCCAGACACCCGACGCGCATTGGCCATGCCCGGACGCGCAAAGCCCTTGAGAAATTTTGCCATCGTATGGTCTAGTAGAGCTTCGCATTGTCCTTGCGTGTCGCCGCCGTTCTTTTTCATGCGCTTCGTCGGTGGTCGAAGTCTTCAGCAACCCATCTCATTTTGCGATGCACTGCTTCAGTGGCTCGAGTTACTGGCCACTGACGTTTGTTCACTACGCAGCGTTTCCTCGAGTTCTATACCGAAGTGGCGGAGGGCAAGCTTCGCCCCCCCTTGAGCTTGAAGGAACGGTTCGAGGGAAACGAATACTTTAATAGTTTGTTTTGCCAGCCGCCTTGGCTCAAAGCCATATCTGCCTGTGTCGCATGCGGCACGGCGGAACCACGAATATTGGCAACAGACGGGTGGAGTGTCTTTGCGCGCGCGTGCGAGCATTTGAGTGTTGCATGTGCCTGGCGTGTATTTGTGTGCTTGCGTGTTTGCGCGGTGTGGCATGCGTGCTGGGTTGGTGCATGCAGGGTCTCGGGTCTCGTATCTGAGTTGCTCCATGCAGCGTTTCGGACCCTCGGAAACAAGTGCCACGTCCAGCCTTAGCTATGGCATCGGGGGGCGCGCCCGTAGTTCTCACCGGCCTACGCCCTGCTCCTGGGGCCGCGGGGCCGGGTGTGGCCGCCAACCGCACCCGCACGTCCATAGACCGCCGAGTCGGACGGGAGCGGTATGCGTCTCGGGGTAAGAGACTGGGCGGTACGGCACCGAAATAGGCTCGAAGTGCTGAAACCTCCCAGTTGAGCTCTCTGGGTGCCCGGGGGGGCGTTCGGTCGAGTGCGCGCGCAGAATTGCGATGGCGCCTGGGGGCGGCCACACCGCAGATGGGGGATCGTTCTGGCTCCCCCCGGCCCGGACTTCTCCCGTCGCCTCACGGTGACCTAAGCTTGGTGCGGTGGGGGCGCGCTTTGTGGAACACGTCCCAGGTGCGACCCTTCATGTGCTCCTCACCGCTATACGTTGGCCCGGACTACTATGAGTGGGGCGGGCGGGCACGGCTCGCTGCCATGTACGTGCGGGGGCGGTTGGATTCCTAGAATCTCCCCCCGCACAACGGGCAGCGTGAGGCTGAATCCCGCCTGATCACCCGGGACCGGCAGGCGAGGTGAGGCGCCTCGGTCTGGGCCTCTTGATCCTAAGGTGCCTCTTCAGGGCGCCGCGCAGTTGTGGTCCCCCGACTTCCGCGGAGTAGAGCGCCGACTGACAGAGCGGGTGGAATGGGCAGGGGGGGGGCGGGCGGGGAGGCGCCGCCAAAACGCGCGCAGAGGGCTAATATAGCCCAGTATAAACGCAGGAGACAAGAAAAACAGCTCCGGTGGGGAAAGTGCTCGGGTGGTCTGTCCGCTGGGGCGTCGTCGCTTTCTGGTCACTCCATTGCGCCGGGTGGTGGTCTTGCACCGACCCCCAGGGAGTGGGGGTGTTGCACCCTGACGACGTGGAGCCCACTCCCCCTGCGCCGGGAGATGGTCTTGCACCATCTCTCAGGGAGTGGGCCCTTTTTCCTGGCGGGCGGGGGGCGATAGCGTGGCAGCGCGCTCGGGGCCTGATCTCAACTTTTGTCCCACGTCCTCGCATTCACGTAGTAGTTCGGGGCTGGG